CCGCCGCCGCTCTCCGTCGTCGGCGTATCGCCGGGTCATCTATCGATGCCTTGCGAAGCATTCTGCTGCTGCGACCGCAACACACCGACCCCGAGGAAGGAGGAGGAGGAGGAGCTGGGCGCGTTAATTGACCACGTCAAAGGACGGTACATGGAGCATGCCGCGGAGAGGGACCCTGTACGGGACATATTGATAGCCACCAGCCTTAGACTTGCCAAGTTCATCCTCCGGGTACGTACGTGCACCGTACCACGCTGCTTGTTGCCTCTGCGAATCAAGCATCATGAGTCTCTCTCTAAATCATGCACAGCCGCCTTAGCTAGCTAGCTTAGCTTCCGGCCGGGGTCGTTTATGGTCATGGCAGGGCAGACGGCAGACATCGAGGTTATTAACTTTTAGGTATCAGGTTTTCTTATTGCATGCGCAGTGGCGCGGGGTTCTGAAATATTTAAAATTTATGCATGCATGGTTTGATCCAATCCTTTTCTATCTACAATTTAATGCACTGGGATGAATAGCCATAAGCAGGCTAGGCTCCATCATCACTAGTTTCGTCACAATATAATGATCCTGCCACAAGAATTTAATTTCTACAGATTTGTCATTCAATTATTAAGGAGTGGGAGAGGGAGGAAAGTTGTATCACACTAGTAAAAAAAAGGGCTTCTATTCCCGGCTGTCAACCCCCTTTATTCCCGGTTACGCAGCCGGGAATAGGAGTTCGGGAATAAAGGGTTAATAGCCGAGAATAGAAGTGGACCTTTAGTCCCAGTCGGTGATACCAACCGGGACTAAAAAGGTAGCCACGCCAGCGCCTGGGCTGGCCCCTTTATTCCCGGTTGGTATTACCAACCAGGATTAAAGGGTCTTTTTTTTCCTGCTTATTTCAATTGATGGTTCTTTTTTGTTTTAATTTGGTTTTCAAATACGCATTATTCGCTGCAAAGTAATATACGATTACTCTGCCAGCGTCTTTGTAAAGTTTTCATTTCGATCAATGCATAAGCAACACAAGTAAAAGTAAACTAAAACATAATATTACATTTCATTGTCATCATTTGGATCGAGGCACGGGGCTCCTGGCTGAGTAGCAGGCGTCGTCAGGTCTACTCGGCCGAGGTGTGGGTGGGCGTCGGGATGCCCTCCGGTGAGAAGAAGAAGGCGTCGGGCGGGGTGGCCCGGGGAAAGCTTAAATCGGCGGCATCGTGGGCGCGCAAGGTCGGGGCAGCCAGGGGCTCCTCCTTGAGGGGCACGGCATCGGGCTTTCCAGGTGAGGTGGGCGGGCGTCGGGGTGCCCTCCTGTGAGGAAGGCGGCGTCGGGGGTGGCCGGGAAGGCGAAATCGGCGGCGGCGTGATATGTATGTGACATCGGGCGGCCGGGGGCTCCTCGGTGAGGGAGTGGCGTCGGGGCTACTCCGGCGAGGTGGGCGAGCCTCGGGGTGGACTCAGTTCAACGTATAATTAATCGGTGAAGTCACGTGGAAATTCAATTAAAGTGAAAAAATTACCAAACCAATTCAGAAAAATCTCGAACTTGGTGGTGGCTTCACACTGGGCATTTGAAACCCTGATAAAAATTATGAGATCAATTAGGCACTAGAAAGCACATGGACCAGAAAATTCAAAGTATAGTTAACAAAAGAATATAATCAATTAAAGGGTCTTTTCTCTTATTAAATAAATGTTTGGGTGCTTTCTTGTCGAGAAAGTGACTTAGTTCAGATGGCTAGTTAGTGCGCTGCAGTTTAGACCTTGGCTATGAGGTCGTGGGTTCAATGCCTGGCTGCCCCATTTTTTTTTCCAGCGCAATTATATTATTTTATCAAGAAAGATTTTATCCCGGTTATAGCCTAGAGCCGGGACTAAAGGTCATCCTTTAGTCCCGGCTGGAGCCTCAAGCCGGGAGTAAAGATTTATTCCCAGTTGGAGGGTCCAGCCGGGACTAAAGGATAACCTTTAGTCCCGGCTCTGGGCTATAACAGGGACTAATTGTTGCCTGCCGTCGCCACACACTTGGGGCAGAAACTTTGTATCCTTGTTTGAGGATATAACCGGGACTAATAGTCCCTTTAGTCCCGAACACAAAAATACCGGGACTAAAGGCAAAAATAGAGGCGGGATGAAAGGTCTGTTTTCTAGTACCAAACCACCTCAGAAAAATCTCAAACTTGGTGGTGGCTACAGATAAGGCATTTAAAGTCTTGAGAAAAAGTTTCAGCCCAATCCGGCACTAGAAAGCACATGGACCTCAGAATCCCAGAGAACCTAGGTGTATAGATAGGGCTCGACGAAAGGTTCTATATACCTGTGTGAAGCACGTCGACTCCGCCTATGTCAAAAAGGCTTAAAAAAATTTTGGCAGTCATTTACACCCAAAATATGGCCCCACACAGGATCTTAGGTTTTTCTGATAATTATTTTTATTATTACATTTTTCTTTGTGCCACGTGAGACGAAATACGGTGAATTACATATTCAAAACAATATAATTTTGCATCAACCTCCACAAATATTTGTCTCCTAGGGCACAAGAGACCATTTGGCAAAGTTTGGCACCATTCCGGATCTTTTCGGGGGTGGACTCAGTTCAACGTATAATTAATCGGTGAAGTCGCGTGGAAATTCAATTAAAGTGAAAAAATTACCAAACCAATTCAGAAAAATCTCGAACTTGGTGGTGGCTTCACACTGGGCATTTGAAACCCTGATAAAAATTATGAGATCAATCAGGCACTAGAAAGCACATGGACCAGAAAATTCAAAGTATAGTTAACAAAAGAATATAATCAATTAAAGGGTCTTTTCTCTTATTAAATAAATGTTTGGGTGCTTTCTTGTCAAGAAAGTGACTTAGTTCAGATGGCTAGCTAGTGCGCTGCAGTTTAGACCTTGGCTATGAGGTCGTGGGTTCAATGCCTGGCTGCCCCATTTTTTTGTCCAGCGCGACTATATTATTTTATCAAGAAAGATTTTATCCCGGTTATAGCCCAGAGCCGGGACTAAAGGTCATCCTTTAGTCCCGGCTGGAGCCTCAAGCCAGGAGTTAAGATTTATTCCCGGTTGGAGGGTCCAGCCGGGACTAAAGGATAACCTTTAGTCCCGGCTCTGGGCTATAACCGGGACTAATTGTTGCCTGCCGTCGCCACACACTTGGGGCAGGAACTTTGTATCCTTGTTTGAGGATACAACCGGGACTAATAGTCCCTTTAGTCCCGAACACAAAAATACCGGGACTAAAGACAAAAATAGAGACAGGATGAAAGGTCCGTTTTCTAGTAGTGCATGGTGGTGATAACTGATAAGCTTGGCTACAAAATCAAACCCTTATTAGAAACCGTGCCCTAACATTGGGTAGAAAGTTGTCATCTCTTTTGGTACTAGTTCCAAGCGCGTTGTATTCTACTGGCTATTGCAATTAGCTATATTTTTTTCTCGATTTTAGATATTTACATGTTAATATTTATCTTGAATTGTGTGGGCAAGCTCTGCCATTTTAATTGTTTATTATGTGTTGAGGACTTCATGTGTTTATGTAGTAGATTTATTGCTATTTTTTTAGTACCTAATTGCTACTCCATCCATCGTGAATTATAAGTCGTTTTGGCTCTAATTTTTTTCGCTATATATATACCTAAATATGCGCTATGTCTACGTACGTATAGAAAAGTTAAAACTACTTACAATTTAGAACAGAGGAAGTACCTAGGACATAAGTGATTCAGTCGGGATTCAAAAAAAAATCATATTCCTCTTCTTCCTATTATAAGCTATGTGTTTGATTCCTACTTATGAGTTATCATTATTGTCTACTGGCAATCCCACTCCTCCATTGATTACTAAAATTATCTATTGCTTACGATTTCTACAAGAAAAAGAAAAGTCAGATGTATTTTTAAGTTTGAACCGTTTGTCTTTTATACCACGTAAATTAAGGTTCCTGCATTAAGTCCCCAAGAGCAGGAAAGAAAGTAATCATGTTTACCACACCGTATGTGCATGGAAGTCCTACAAATTAGTTTTTTTAATGAACCATTCAAATAACAGTTTGCAGGGCATATTCTAATATTCGATTGCTTCCCCTCAGCCTTTTTTTATACGTTACTATTAGTCGTCTTCTAATCTTTTTCTTGCTTGCAGGGACTAATGATCTTACTATGGGTGCATCTGTATAACTCCATGCGAAGATATGCTATCAGCTACATTGGCAGAGATACAGGATTTAGTACATTTGTTGTGATAGTTGTCTCCGCACCTATGACCGAATTCTTTTGTGTTTTTGGCCAGATCACGAGTATACAACGGCGCAGATCGTTCCCGCTGAGGAAATAGTTTTATTTTTGGGTCTAGCAACTGGGACGAATAGCCATAAGCAGGCTAGGCTCCATCGTCACTAGTTTCATACACAATATAATGATCCTGCCACAAGAATTTAATTTCTACAGATTTGTCATTCAATTATTAAGGAGAGGGAGAGGGAGGAAAGTTGTATCTCGCCGCCTCCGCCCCTGTCGTCCCTCCCTCTCCCTCTCCCTCTCTCCTGACGTGGCGGCGTGCTGGCCCCCTCCTCCGTCTCTGCTTTCACCTTCCCCCCCCCTCTCTCTCTCGATGCTGCGGCGCGCCGGCCGACGAACGGCGCGGGCGGGACGGCGGCGCACGGGCGCCAGCGAGCCCTCGCAGGTGGCCGTTGCCGCTGCTGCCACCACGACACGGCTTCCTCCCACCGGTCCGCGTGCGCTCCTGGGCTCGACGAAACATCGAAACCCTAGGTGCATGTGTTCGACGCCTCCGTCTGCGCGCATGTGGCCTCTTCCTCGGCGGATCGGCTTGGCGGCCAGATCTGGAGGTACCTCACCCTCTTCTTCTCTGTCTCATGGCTCGTCACCTAGATCCGTCCTCCGTCTCATGGCTCCTCACCCAGATCCTCTCTCCCTCCATCTTCCCCTTTGCGCAGTGCAGGACAGCTAAGGCTGAGGCACCGACCACTCAGGGAGGCAGCAGCCATGGCGGAGATCGCCGAGAGGGCCGTCGTGGGCGAGCTGCCGGAGGAGCCACGGCCGCTGCACGGTGAGGAGGAGGACGATGAGGAGGAGGAGGGGGATGTGTGCCGGATCTGCCGCAACCGCGGCGACGAGGACCACCCGCTGCGCTACCTGTGCGCCTGCAGCGGCAGCATCAAGTTCGTGCACCAGGACTGCCTCCTCCAGTGGCTCGACCATAGCAACTCGCGCCAGTGCGAGGTAATAAAACCGCCCCCGCCCCGGCCCTCACCCCGCGGATGGGGACGCGCTGGGTCGTTGCTTTAGGGATTGATTAGTTCGATTGCGTGGTGGAATCGATCGATTGAACGTTGAGCTGGTGTTATGGGTGCTGTTTCTTTGTTATGACTTGTAGATTGGGTCAAAACTATGTTAATAGGTGTTCATAATGGATAGGGCTATTATTTATGCCTTTTCAGTTGCTAGAATTAGGGGATTAGGGTTGAGAATCAGGACAATTGGATGGTTTTGATGATTATTCAGCTAGCAAAGGTATTTTCATAATGCTCCGCTGCTGTCGTGGGTTCAGAGTATTTTCAGAGGCATAATAATTCTGTTAACCCCCTCCAGTTTCATCAAAAAAATAATTCTGTTAACCTGCAGCGTCTACTTGTGCTTCTTAGCAGTGAACAAGTTTTAGTTGGTGGTTCCAAGCACAACTCTACGGCTGGGTAGTAATGTCTTGTATTGCAAAGGAAAAAATATACTCATGACGATGATGATGTGTGTGTCTTGTTTGTCTTCAGCTTCACCCCATTTTCTCTAGATAATTTCTGATTTATGCATATGTGCACTGCAGGTCTGTAAACACGCATTCTCCTTCTCACCCGTGTACGCTGAGAATGCTCCGACAAGACTTTTCCAGGAACTGATAGTTGGTGTTGGAATGAAAGCATGCCATGTGTTTCAATTCATCCTTCGGCTTGCCTTTGTTCTCTCAGTTTGGCTCATGATTATCACGTTCATTACCTATTGGATATGGCGGTTAACATTTGTGAGAAGTCTTGGTGAAGCACAAAGGCTGTTCCTCAGTCACATCAGTGCTCAGTTGATCCTTAGTGATTGCCTTCATGGGTTCCTTCTCTCAGCTATCATTGTCCTTGTATTTCTCGGAGCCACCTCATTACGGGACTACATAAGGCATTTGCGTGAACTTGGTGGACATGATGCTGAGAGGGATGAGCATCCACAACACCAGGTATGGCTGTCCCTTCTCTTCCCTTCCTTTGTGTAAAACTTAGCACTGGAACTGGATATTCCTTTTTAGGAGAAATGAAGTTTTTTTTTTAATTTAGTTTGATCCAACTGATCATTTTAAGTGGATGCTATATTACTTTCAGGATGAAATTAAAGAATTCATATGCTGGACTGGATCACCTGGAATTGTAAGGTTAAGGTGATGTACTTTAATCCACTAATCAAGTGTAAAACATGATGTATTATTTCCTGATTTACTCAATCCGTGCAGTTATGCCCATCTGTGCTTAATAGATGTCCTGCAATAGTACTCATAATGATTTAGTGGTGCTTCACTGAATGATGTAGTAGCGAAATATTAAATATATAATGATTTGTTGTCCTGCATGCATTTTTACATATATTTATAAATAGATTGCTTGTTTACTTGTAAGTGCCAGTACTTATCAAACTAGATGAAACACAAGTTGTTGCTTTGATAGTTATTTGCTGGTTATGAGCACATGCTGGTTATGAGGGACTTTCATTATCTTGTCTGACAGATCAATCAAAATGCTTCTTTAACCAGGTCAGTGAGGAATATATGATATACACAGTTCAGTGATTTAAAATAACAAGAATTGTCTCTTGTTTGTTCTTTTAACATGGTTATAATAACAAGAATTGTCTCTTGTTTGTTCTTTTAATATGTTTCTGCTTATTGCAAATCTAGCATTAGGCTGATGCTCTGTACATTTTAAATTGACAGATACTTAGTTGAGATATGAGCTTCATGCTTATGTATATCCATAATATATGTTCCTGATAGCGTCAAAGAAAATTCACAAGCATATTGATGCAGTAGACCAGGAATTGTGTATAACTTTAGTTTTGATTTGCACAGTGCTGATGGATAGCCACAAGGAGAACGATGCAATAGCGGAGCTCAGCCGTGCGATATCCTTCAAAGCCGACCTGCACTTGCTGCATCTCCGGGCTTATTTCAATGTTTGAATTATTAGTTCTTGATGACACCATTTGTTCTATATCAGTTTGTTTGCAAAATTATTTGGAATGCATGTTGGGACACCATTTGTTCAGTTAGATTGCATTTCTTATCCACCTGAAGGTTTGATGTGATGGTAGACAAAATATGCCATTGGTGATGATCTAGATCTTGCAAGTTTGATAGAAAGCAACTCCAGAACATACCATAGAATGCAGTTGAGATGATAGAATTAAAACGCAATTCCTATGAACATAGAATTTCCAGCATCATTCTGCAAGTTTATTTGTCTGTATCAACAAAAGTGGATGCCTCAAGTCTCATGATCCATTTGTGATAATCTCCATTAGGAACATAAATGTCAACTTTGTACTGTCACAAATTGTTTTAAAGTATTCTTTGTGGTACAAAATAGTTGGTGAAGAAAGCATTACTCGATCCGGCTTCGACAAGTTTCTCCTTTCCATGTTATGCTCATAATTACGCATGTCTTTGGCGGGCCATCTGGCCGTTGGAGTTTGAGAAGTTTGAAAACAAGCCAGATGCCATTGGAACTTCTGGTATTGATGACCGCATCACCAAGATGATCAAAAATTGGTATTGCAGTGGCGAGACAATTCTTGTTGGAAAGTGTGAACATAAACTGGCTATTGAAACAGAACTGGTCAGCCTTAGCACCCTTTTCTTGCTTCTACTTGGTGGAACATATATCAATGCATTCAAAATATGCTGTGTATTTGACAGAAAATAGCCTGCCGTTGTGATGAAGTTGCGTTTGAAGTGATGTGGGGCCTGGAAAACCACTTGCATATTTTAGTGCCTGATGAGGAATTAGAGCTACGTGAGGAGTGACCATAAGTATTGGAGCCAAGGATTGCATATGTTCCTGCGAAGTCTTAATTATAACATCGAACCAGACCTGGTGAGCACACTAGTCTTTACTGATGTCCAATGTTCAAATTTTTTGTTTTACTGCACCCTGTCATGTAAATTTATTGTGTGTTCACTTGTTCTGTAATCTATGAATATCACCAAAGTTTATATTGTGATACTTCCTGGAATATCATACCAACTGTATGCTAAGCACTATGATATCAAAAAGGAAAAATCATCCATGTATCTCAGTATCATTTTCATGTCTTTCATGTCTTTGTGAAAGTGCTAAGATGAATAACGTGTTAGACAATGATACATATTTTTCATGTCTTTCATGTATTGCTCTGCACAGCATATAAATCTGGTTAAAACATTGTTTTGGTAATTTGATTTTTTTTTTGCGGAAAATGTACTGTAGGGGCGGTTGGTATTGTAGCCGTCTCTACAAATAGGTATTATAGGGACGGCTGGTACTGTAGCCACCCCTACAAGTCGATTTGTAGGGGCGGCTGATAACACCAGCCGCCTCTACAAATCGATTGGTAGGGGCGGTATGAGAACCGCTCCTACAAATGCATGATTTGTAGATACGGTATGGTAGGGGCGGCTGGCCGAACCGCCCCTACAAATACTCATTAGCCGTCCCTGGAAATCATATCTGACGTAGTGATAGCCCCGGGCCTTCCCCACCCGCAAGTGGCTCACCGGTGTGCCTTCTGGCAAGCCTCTCCCGGACCGCTCCCTGTCGTCTTCACTATCAAGCTTTCGGCTAAAACGCCATGGGCCTTGTTCCCTCCGGTAAACGGTGGCGGCCACACCATAAACGTTGTTGGTGTGGTCTCGCAAGACTACAAGCCCCGCCGAGTACAACAATGATGAGCGTAAGCTTGAGTGGTAAGAGATATGCAAACCTCACTAAACACTAGGCCTAAACCTAGAGCAAGCGCATGTGAGCATGGTGTAACAAACCTAAGCACTTCGCAAAGCACTTACGCTAATCACCGAGTGTATCACTAAGCACTATGCATATGAAGAGCACTAAGATGGTGTAGCAACACTCTTGGTATGTTTCCCCACTCCTCCACACCTCATTTGCTCGGTTTGAGATCCTATTTATAGCCCCAAATATGGCCGTTGGGGGCAAGATCACCCTTTCTGCGGACCGTCGGACCGTACTTTGATGGGCCCGTGTGAATGTGTGGTTCGCTTTCCACCTTTGTTGGAGGGGAGAGGCGGAAGTGCCTCCCTCCCGTCATGCAAAAAGGCCCAGCGCCTAATAAATCTGAAGACCTCCTTGAAAATTCATGAGTCATAAGGGGGAGGGAGGGAGATGCCTCCTCCCACCTCCCTTATAAATAGAAACTAAGGGAAAGGGGAAGGTGATCCCCAAATTCAGTTAGCTAGTCTTTAGCGCTTTGCCTGTCTATCTGTTTCCTATCTGGAAACTTGCCACTTCAGCCACACTCTCGTCCGTGCGAAGGTTCACGTACACTTGACAAAACATCTAGCGCCACTTCGTGGTCCGTGGCCCAAGCAGAGCGAGGCTACAGCCTCGGCTCGGGGACCTTCGCACGCTGCGGCCAACACGAAGCTATACTCCCGCTCTGCACAAGCCCACGAGGCCCGACTTCCGTGCCGTCTCGTCAGCACGTGCTGGCAAGGCAAGTGAAGGTCCAGCAGCAGCGACACGTGAAGACCCTGCGGCAGCGACCTGCGAAGGTCCTGCACTCCGGCAGCAGCGGCACGCGAGGGATTCGTGGAACTCCTGTGCAACTCACGCCAAGCTCGGGTCGACCTCGCAGTGATTAGTGAGGGTTATCTAGACCGAGATAAGCATTCCCGTGGCCTTTCTATTTCTGTGCTAAAAAAACATGCATATCTTTTTCGCTGCAACATCGACTAATGTCCAGTACGCAACCTTTGTCGCGGCCGAGCGGAGCAACCCTCGTCGTCGCAGCCGGACTGAACTACCCTCGCGCGGCCGGACAAAGCTACCCTCGTCGCTGCCCCACTGAGCTACCCTCGTCGTCACGGCCCTTGTCGCGGCCGGACAAATCTACCCTCGTCGCGGTCACGCTGAGCTACCCTCGTCGCGGCCGGACAGAGCTACCCTCGTCATGACTCTTGTCGCAGCCGGACAAACCAACCCTCGTCGCGGCCAGACAAGAACCAGCCTCGTTGTGGCCGGACAGTGTCACACTCGTCTGCAGCTAAACAAGTACCCTCGTCCGGTCCCGGACCACCCTCGTCGACCTTCAGACGGGAGTGACCTCGTCGGCCTCCCGGCCAGGCGGCAGCCTCGTCGACCTCCGACCCACGCCGGGTCCAAGCCGTCCAGCAGGATCGAGCGCGCCCGCTACACCTTTGGCTGCCGCGCCAGCAGTACAAAGCCGACGGTCTTCCACGCGACCACGCCCCTATGGCAGTAAAAGCTAAGAACAATCAGCCTATCCCGAATTTTGCAAAAATTTCATAAGCGCGTGGTTTCGAATCGAACCCAGGCTGAAGTGCTTGGCAACCTGTCCTAACACCGACGCACTAAGTATGCTTGTGTGCTTTTCTTGAGACCCGTAATTTACTTGTCCAGGTTCGTCATGCTCCTCCTGCAGCAAAAAAGGCTTGCCGATCTTGCGAAGGTGCGTCGAAGGAGCGCTGGAGGTATAACGGCCCGAGATCTGCGAGGGTCTCAGCTCGCCAAACTTGGCCAAAGATAAATCACCCGGCACCTCCTTTTGTAAAGAAAAAATTCCACAGAAGTGCATAAGCACACATAATATATACTGAAATATTTTGTAGCTTACAGGCTCACTATACATGCGTAATAAGAAAAAATAATAATAAAAGCTTTTTCAGCATTTAGTCACTTACCGGCCATTTGTTAACCTCCGCAGCTTTATTACCTTCGAGTACACCATGCTTATTTTGCACAAGAACACCTAACTCCCTATAAGTCCCTCCTCGGCAAAGTCGTAATGCACGTCCTCCATCTTTGCACAATGTCAAAATTGTGTGCATGCTTTAATTGCTCGCTGATCGCTTGCTGTTTTATAGCCCGATAACAGTTCAACCTAACTGTAGATTAATCACTCACACTACCTGAAAATGCCTAAGTCATATTATGTTTGTAGGCTTCAAATGTTGGGCACCTTCGTGAGTTTCTCCCACTTGTATGAAGTTTATAACCTTTGTCCAGAGAGAGAGAAGTTGTATACATCTTAGATTATTTAAAGAACTAACCTTCAGCTAGTAAACAAGCTATAATTGCTCAGTGTTGGTCCCTCGCCTGCCCTGCACAGATAAGCAGTAAGCTTACCAGCACACTCACTCACTATGGCTAGAGGTAGAAGAAGATATTGAGAACACCTCACACACACAGCACAAGCCCAGCGCTGGCTGAAAGCTCTGCTTCTGAATGTGGCAAACTGAACTATCTTCACTGAGTTGCAGTGGAAAGCTATATATACAACTCTACCCATCTAATCCTAGTACAAAGACATATCAGGCTGTCAGGTTGCTACAGTGACTATATGTGACAGCAGGGCTGACTTTGGCGCATGCCCCTGCTGTGGCTACAGTGCGGCAGGGGGGGTCTTTCGACGCCTGCCCCTGCCGCGGCTACAGTGCAACAACAGGGAAGCCCTTTCAGCGCCTACCCCTGCCGTGCGTACAGAGGGAGAGAAGCATATTACTTTATAATTCTTTCCCTAATCCTGCTGCTAACCCTATGTCGATCATCTTCTTCAGCTCCGTGAACCGAAGACGGCCGAGCGGCTTGGTGAGGACGTCCGCGAGTTGCCGACTAGTTTCGACGAACTCGATGACGATCTGCCCTCCATCGACACAGTCCTTGAGGAAGTGGAACTTGACGTCGATGTGCTGGCTTTGGTCATGGAGAACCAGATTCTTCACGAGGGCGATGGCGGGCTGGTTGTCCACCATCAGTGCTGGTGGGTGAGCTTTCACACCGGTCAGCTCGCCCAGCAGCCAGCGCAGCCACACAGCTTGGCACGCCGCTGTGGCCGCTGCCACGTACTTTGCCTCGCACGTGGACAGCGCCACCACCTTCTGTTTCAGCGACAGCCATGAGATTGGAGCCGACCCGAGGAAGACGAGCACGCTAGAGGTGCTCCGCCGTTCGTCGATGTCCCCCGCCATGTCTACATCGCTGAACACAGTGAGCTGCAGCCCACTTCCGCCGGTCTTGGGGAAGACGATCACCTGATCTACCATCCCCTTGACGTAGCACAGCAGCCACTTCACCGTGGCCCAGTGATCCTCTCGGGGATCCTCCATGAAGCGTCTCACGTAGCCCACGGTGAACGCAATGTCCGGCCTCATGTAAACTAGGTAGCGCAGACCGCCGACGATGCTCTAGTAGAGTATAGCATCTACCTTCACCGCGGTACTAGCCTTCATCAGCTTCAGCTGCTCCTCTATTGGAGTCACGCACGGCTTGCACTTAGCCATGCTCCGTTCCAAAAACTTTGAGGCGCGACGGCGCGCTCGACCGAGCGTGAGCGCCTCCTTCCCCTATCTCACCTCGACACCGAGGTAGTACGAGAGGGCGTTGAGATTGCTCATTCAAAAATGAGCTGCCATCTCGCCCTTGAATCTATCGATGTCCTCCGCACGTGCGCCGGTGATGATCAAGTCGTCCACATACACGCCGATGATGAGCTCCTCCTTCCCCCGTCGCCGCGTGTAGAGTGCATGCTCGGTTGCGCACCGCGTGAACCCAAGCTCACCTAGCATGGCGTCAAGCTTGGCGTTCCACGCTTGTAGGGCCTTCCTCAGCCCGTAAAGCACCTTGCGTAGTCGGAGCACCCTGTGCTCCGCTCCCTTAATGGCGAAACCCGAAGGTTTCTTGACAAAGACTGTCTCTGCCAGCTCACCGTTGAGGAAGGCCAATTTTATGTCCAGGTGATGGACGCGCCAGTCCTTCACTGCTGCCAAAGCCAACAGCAGTTGGATAGACT